GTATGAGTGGTCCAAGGATTAGGCTCGGTATTGCCCGGTAAAGTTCCTTGTGGTCTTGACAATAGAGCTTGTGCCAATGAGCTTAGTTGGGCTTCAAGATTTTGAAATGAAGCTTGTTGATTCCTTTGACCCGCTTCCAAACTTCTCTTTGAATTTGTCAATAGCTTCAATCTTCTTGTTGGAGTGTTTAACGAATTGGTCTACCAAGTCTTCAAGTTCAAAAACTCGACCATCGAATGGTCGACTTTGTTCTTGGTATGATGGTTGACTCGGCCTTGGGTAAGAATTTTTTATAGGAGCTTGAGATTGAAACCCCAGAGGCTTCTATCCTTTGGAGAAGACCAAAGAAAGTTAGGATGTTTCCTCTAACCCGGATTATATGTAGATCTATAAGGGTTGTTTCCTCGGGATCGCCCTACAACAAAGTTGGCTTGCTCAAATTGTATTGAGGCCTCAATCATAGACTTACACTCCTCCATCGTGTGGCTCGAGTCGCCACACCAATCACATTTCATGAGTTGCTTCCCATTGCCTTTCATTGATGATGCAAATTGATCAATTTTCTGGAAAGTTCTTGTATATGAACCACTAACGACGAAGGTTCTTCAATCTTCAATAAACTTCCCTTCTTCAAACTCTTACCTCTCCTTCTGTCTCCCCAATCGTAGCTATTTAGGGCCATTTCTTAAATCATTCTTTGAAGTACACCGATTTCCTTGTTCCTTATGGCACCTCCACTAGCCATATCGATAAGGTGGCGTGACTCCCTTGTTAAATCATTATAAAATCTTTCCACTTGTAACCAATCGGCGATGCCATGGTGTGGACATTTGAGTAGGAGAGATGTAAACCTTTCCCATGCTTCAAACAATGGCTCATCCTCCTCTTGATTGAACATAGTAATCTCGCTTCTAATTAGAGTCGTCTTAGAAGGTGGCGGAATGTACTGTGCAAAGAACTTGTTGCATAGGTCATCCCATGAGATGATAGAGTGATGGGGATGGTTATTCTACCATTGCTTTGCCGTTCCATTTAGAGTAAATGGGAATAACGTCAGACGAATTGCCTCTTAAGGAACCCCATTCACCTTGATTCCATTCGTCAACTCGTAGAACGACTTGATATGTGCATGAGCATCTTCACTCATCATCCCATTGAATTGAACTGCACTATGAAGCATTAAAATTGTGCTTTGCTTTACTCATAGTTGTTGTTCGACATTGTTGGGTGAAGAATAGGTGATTGAACATTATCCACACTCGACATTGAGTAAGATCCCATTGTTCTAAGCCTTTGGTGGAACTTGAGGTTGTTGTTGTTGATCTGCCATTGGTGGAATTTGATGTCTCACAAATATTCTTAGATTCTGAATGGTTCTCTCGATTCTACATCAAGAGGTAATATCTCAAAAGAGTCCCTTCTTCGCATAAAAAAGTGCTACAAGATACAAACTAACATGCACGAAACTACACCACAAATTAATCCTGACTAGAGTTCAAGTTTTTAAACTCTAGCCGGGTGCAGTATAAAGCAACAATTTAAATATCAACTCGGGTTGGTCATGTAACCCTACTTCAATCGCTTAAGTTGTTATCTAGCAAAACGGTTTTGGGTTTTAAAACTAAGAAAACTACAACCTAAATTAGCAAGGAAAAGTCTAACTAAGGGAGCTTCACCCAGGAGTTGCTTCCCCCTAACTAGCTACCAAGACTCGTTCGATTGGAACGATTGCTATGGGCAAGGTAACTGTGAACAGTAGAGGGATGCAAATATGGTCGTAGACCACAATCTCAATTGCTTAATCGATATAAACATTATAGGCCGTGTCACTCGGCCCTCTTTGTGTAGACAATCGGTGGTTGACTTACTCCCTCACTCAACTCAAAGGTTGGACGCCTTAATCGCGCTTAACCAATTTGCTTAATTCAACATTGAGGTTTGCCCTAAATTAATCTAGTTAGTTGGCTTAAAAATCTAAAGGAAAACCAACTTGATTGAGTCTCCCTTAAAAGGGGGATTTTCCTCTCTAATCTAGGTTAAAGTGGCTAATTAGATTGCTAAGCACCAATGATAGACCAATAATTACACATGTTTCTACCCCTATTCTTGAGCTGTTTGAGATGTCGATTCCCTTGTTTTAGGCCGATTTCACTCTAGGTTGTTCTTGTTTGTGATATTTCAGGTCTTAGTATGTGAATGAAGGTTTAGGAACTAGTTCGGGGTCGATTGGACGAAGTTTGGACGCTTGGCGAGAAGCTGAGAAGCCACACGGGCATGCCCAAAAGCCACACGACCGTGTGGGAGACCCACTGTGGCCGTGTGAAGGCTCGGCAAAAGCCACACGGGCAGTCTGAACACTCACACAGCCGTGTGGGTCGTGGCCGCGTAGCTTGCCTGGTTGCCACTAATCGAAACGCCGCGTTTGGACACTCACACGGACAGCTGGGAAAGTCACCCGGCTGTGTGACATGGCTGTGTGAGTCAGGATTTTCTGGTTTTAAGCCAATTTCCAGCCACAAGTGAGAGGGATCCGAGTTTTAGAGAGACAGAGCGATTCCTAGAGAGAGAAAGCGACAAACAAGAGTTCCCAAGTGCCCTAGCTTGATCTTCATCACCATTGGAACCCGGCTTGAGCTTGGAGAAGTGTCGATCGACAACCAGGAGCAGAAATCCATCCTTCACAGTATGGTTTCCGCATCTGAATATGCTTTTGCTTCTTTCTCCATGGAGTAGTTTTCTCATTCATCTGGGTATGGAGAACCCTAGATTTGTATGTTAGGTCTGATTGTATGAATTCAAGTACAGATTTTATGATTTGATTATGTTCAATTGAGGCTTGAATGATTGAATGACTTGAATCCTGATCAAATTCCTGTTATTTCTGCTTTAACCTACAAAGAGAATATATGCCTAGGTTAATAGAGCACCCTTAATTGAAGGTGGTGAATTGGCGACTTTAGTCGAGGAGTCAATGCACTATTCTGTACCAAATTTACTTCGGTAGTGGAGGTTTGGTTCGTTAGGGCCTCAATCTGTTTACTCCGGTGGAGGTTAGTCGCTCGCTGGGGACTCAGATTGAGAGGGTCTGGAGACCTTTAGTCGAGACTTCAGACTATTTAAGAACCTTCCGCAGTATAACTTTCATAGAAACTAAACTTGTTAATTGCAATCCGGCTTAACTGCAGTCTAGGGGGAACCATATCCGGGTGGCCTCTCTCGACTTGAAACAACCGTTTGATTGCTAACTTTGCTTGTTTTGCTTGTTTGACATTAAAACCCAAACCCGCTATACTACGCTTTAGGAAGTGGTTACACTTGGCCATTTTCTAGAGTGACAGTAGGAGTGAGTCAAGTTTTTGGCGCCGTTGCCGGGGACGGCTAGGTTGTTGAAGAAAAGTGATTTCTGTTACTTTAGCATTTTCATTTTCGCATTGACTGTTTGTTCTTTCCCACTTGTGCCTTCACGGGTTTGCTTGCTTGATTATGTGCAGGTAGTGCATGAACCGTAGCCAGTCGGGAGGTTTACTGTCGTTGAATCCGGAGATTGAACGCACCTGTCACCAACTTAGGAGACAACAGCAAGCTAGACTGGCTACGGAGGAGCGCATAGACGGCCATTTGAGCAGCGAGTCCGAGGACGAGTACGAGATGGAAGGATATTACAATCCACACCAGGGGAATCCTCACCAGGTTCCCCCGGTGAATCAGGTCTTGGGGAACAATCTCATACCCCAGGCAGATGGGGTTCATCATCATCCACCGCCGCCGGGTCCCACCTTGGAGTACTACTACACTCCACAGATTGCTGACATCCGCTCGGTCATCCTCTACCCGCCTATTCCAGCGAACAACTTCGAGATCAAGCCATGATGGATTCAACTCATTACATCATCTATCCAGTTCCATGGCTTGAAGGATGAGGAGGCAAGGGTGCATCTTTCCCGTTTTCTGCAGCTGACGAACGGGTTGAAGCTAAACGGTGTCCCTGATGACGCAATCCGCCTTCACCTCTTTCCCCATTCTCTGGCAGGGAATGCTAAGAGGTGGTTGGAGACCCAACCCCCATTGTCCATCACCTCTTGGGATGATCTGGCTGACAAGTTCGTGCACAGGTACTACCCAACATCGAAGACCACAGAGATCCAGCGGGAGATCACTCACTTCCGCCAAGAGCCAGACGAGTCACTTCGTGATGCATGGGAGCGGTGCATGGGATATTTCTGGTAGTGTCCCCATCATGGCTTTAGTGATGCATTCACAGTGGGGAACTTCTACAGTGCCCTCTCTCCGCACAGCCAGAGGTTGATTGAGTCTCTATGCCCAGGAGGGGATATTCTTACTAAGACTCCACCCGAACTGAACCAGATGATCAGTACCTTGGCTGCTAGAGATCATTCCTGGGGGCAGGGCACCAGAGGCAGGAATTTCCGGACCGTGGTGTGCACGACATGGAGGCCAAGTCCGGGCTCGAGCAGCAGGTGGCCGAGTTAGTGCAGACATTGAAGCAGCCCAACAGTCTTATTCCGGGCAGAGGTTTGGCTACACCTCCAGTAGCTCAATGTCAGTGGTGTGAGAGCTCAAATCATCTGGTGGAAGACTGCCAGGCTATGCGGGAGTCAACTACTCCCCAAGAGCAGTTGGACTTCATCGCCAATGCTCGGCGCTTTGACCCCTATAGCAATACATATAATGAGGGGTGGCACCAGCATCCCAATTTCTCTTGGAATAGCAGCACCACTAAACCACCTGGTTTCCCAGCACCAGCTGGTGGCTTTCAGCAGAGGCAACCCTTCCAGGCTCGACAGGGGCTAGCCCCACTGCAGCAGCCCTACCAGCCTAGGCAGGGGCAATCATTCCAGCAGCCCTAGCGTCAGTTTGCCGAGCTAGCAGCAGCGTCGGCTCCAGATAATCAGATAAAGAAGCTGAAAAACATTCTAGCGGCATTCATGACTACCACCCAGCAGAGCATAGCCTCACTGGAGGCAGGTCAGAGGAACCAAGGTGCCATTTTGCAAGTTTGCAGAACTAGATGGGTAGCATGGCTCGCCAAAACACTACCCGGACTCTGGGAACTGTACCTGCCACTACCATCCCCAATCCACGGGAGCCGCACCAGCAGCTGAATGCCATCACCACCAGGAGGGGCAAGTCCACATCGGCGGTACCTTCCCAGGATAGGGAGGAAGAGCTACTGCCTGCTTCAGCACTTCCAGCCGATGATGTAGAAGTGAGGGTGGAGAAGGAAGCACCTGCTCCCAAGCCACTGCCAGTGGTTAAGGAGCACGTACCCCAGCTTCCCTTCCCCACTCGCCTACATAAAGACAGGCTGGAGACTGAGTTTGCCAAATTCATAGCAATGTTGAAGCAGGTCAACATCAGCATGTCATTCGTGGAGGCACTGTCGAAGATGCCCAAGTACGCCAAGTTCATGAAGGACCTCCTCACCAACAAGAAGGAACTTGGGGATCTTTTGACAGTGATGCTGAGCGAGGAGTGTTCTGCCATCTTGCAGAACAAGCTGTCCGAAAAGTACAGAACCCAGGAAGTTTCACTATCCCTCTTCATATTGGCAGCATGCATGTAGGGAAGTCCTTGGCGGACCTAGGCGCTAGCATAAATGTCATGCCATACAATCTATTTAAAAAGCTAGACCTAGGTGAACTTAGCCCTGCTAGGATGAGCATTCAGTTAGCTGATCGCTCTATTGTGCATCCTAGGGGTATCATAGAGGATGTGCTTGTTAAAGTAGGCGCATTCACATATCCTATTGATTTTGTTGTTCTGGATATAAATGAGGATGTGGATGTGCCTTTGATTTTGGGTAGACCATTTCTTGCCACCTCCAAGGCACTAATTGATGTGCATAGTGGTAAACTGATCTTGCGTGCTGGGAATGAACAGGCTACTTTTTCTGTGGCAACTATTCTCCCTGGCTTATTTTAGGGGAAGGAATTACCACTTTCTATCTGCTTCTGCAGCAGACGCCAAAGACCTGCATCACGGGTGTGATGCATGAACGGAAAGAGCGAGAGTGAGTGCAAGAAGGATGGGGAGAGAAAAAGCACTGGATTTCTGACCACATTCTCCATGGGGCCTTCTTATCTCTTCCTTCTCCGAGCTCGGGTTATAGAAGAAGGAGAAGAAGGAACCGAGAAGAAGGTATCAGCAACAACAGGTTTTATTACGGGACATCTCATGATGTTTCTATCGATCTTGTCGCAACCGTCCCGTCCGGGGGTCCGAATGTCGTCGCGTCGGCATTTTTGGGAGTCGCCATCGATCTTAGTTGGAGTGGATCGAACACTCTTAGGATCGGGAGTACGGTTACGTGTAGGGAAGTTAAGCAACACCCCCACAACGCCCTAAATCGGTACTACTTAAGTCGATAAGTTTTATACGAGTTGGGTGTATTTTAGTAATAATTTATAATTTTAGGGGTCCCACTGGACCATTTAATGATTTAATCATATTAGTTGTAATTTAATTATACGCCCACTGACGTAAAAATTTAAAGATAAAGTTAGTTGATTAATTGGACTCGAACCTTATCGGTTGCCTACGTACCCGTAAGACGGGATCAAAGTCCACGTAGTTCGCTTGGACTTTGAAAATTTTAAGTAAAATTATTACCACATTCCACTGATCGTGGTTCTCGTATCAAAATTTATTGTTAGTAAAATTTAGGTTGGTATTATGAAATTATAAAAAGATAATGTAATAATTTCACTCATTAAGAGGAGTTTTGATGTACTAGAAAAGAAACGAGATATACTTAATCCGCAATTTTACATTTTGTATTAAGGATTTTAAATAAATAACACTATACGGGTTTATATTATTAACGCATGAGGGCCAGCAGTCTAACTGGCTAAAACGCCAGACCAAATTAGCGTTTGACCGAGAGAACATGGGTTCGAAACGCGCTATCTACAAATTTTTTGTTTATCTCGTTTTAGAGCAGAGAAGGGGGAAGGGCAATTTGGTAAGTTCTCAAAAAGACGGTGGCACGGCCGCGTAATTAGCAATAAACCCTAGGGGCATTTTGGACTTTTTCAGGTGGGTATAAATTCACCTTAAGGAAACCCTAATTCGGCCTTACCAAAAAAAAATGGCCGCCTCCTCCTCTCTTCCTCTCGTTCTCTCTCTTACTCTCTGCCTCTCGATCCTCTTCCAGAGAAGAAAAAAAAACAAACGAACCCTAATCCGCCTCTCTTCTCGTTTCCTCTGGAGTAAACCGAAAACCACAAAAAAAAATGATGAATAATCGCCCTCTCCCCCTCTCGATTCTCTACTCTGTTCTCTGCTCTCGACTAGCTAAGGAGTCCGCTCGTTTCGTACTAAACCAACCGAGAGGGCTTCGATTCAGGTAGAGTGAGACATGCATGGTCTTTTGATTCGTTTTAGGAGATTTTATTAGGATTTGCCTAACTCCTTTCATTTTCATTTTCATTTCCGGTGAAATTGTCCCAAACCGAGGGGGGGTTTTCTCGATCTACCTGCTCCTGCTCTCGGTTTACTCTTTGGTAAGCTTCTCTTAAACATGCAAACTTAGATCTAATTTTTCCACACAAGACGTGATTTTAATCTTGATTTTTATTTTGGGTTTTTGGTGTTGGACGAGGGGTGAAGGAGAGCGAAGACCGGCGGCGACGTCTAGACCTAGGGACGGTCGACGGTAGGTTCGGACTAATTTTTCGTCGGTTTATTCGTTTTTTTTTATTTCGTATTTTGGGTTTTAATAAATTTTTTATTTCGGTTGGGTGGAGGACGAGGGACTCTTTGGCCGCCGAGATCTCCGTCGGCGAAGTCAGGTGAGAATTTTATTATTTTTATTTTATTTTTGTTTAGGTTTATTACCTCTTTAATCTATTCTGACCTCTACTTTTGTTTTGATGCAGTTATTGGAAATGGACAGATCTGGGTAAGGTTGTCCTAAACTCGGGTTAATATGATTGGGGTGGTTGAACTAAAAAAGGAAAGGATTGTGTTTCGGTTTAGATTTGGTTTACAAATCTGTGGTTTGGAAATATGTTGTATGTGTGTTTGATGATCTCGAATATTTTCATGCTTGGTGGTTTGGTTGATGGTTTTAGAAGTAACTCCTAATAAGCTAGAATTTGGTAAAAAAAAAAATTATTTCTGGGAAAGTAATTAAGAAGTTCGAAAATCACTATTTTCGGTAATTGTAAATCACTGCCTCTGCTTGTGATTTTGCAAGGGTTTGAAATCTGAAATTTAGTGCGTTTATGGTGTTTTTGTTGGATTTGGTTTTAAAACGAAAATCATATTTGTTTCTGTTTATGAAATCTTGGCGATTGAAACTGTATGTTGGTTTAAGCTATATGTTCTTAAAAGAAATTGAAATTTGACTTAAGTTTTAACATGATATATTTGCCAAAAGATTAGGCTAATGATGGTAACTAGTGCAAACTGATTTAGACAGGGGTACAAGTTATTGCTGCATAAACTGTGCTCAATTGAAATAAATCGCATATATGCAGATTGCGGTAGTAGTATATTGCTTAAATATAAACGAGCTCAATTAAGTAAATAAAGCCGATAGAGATAAGCAACAAAGCAGATGGATTATTAGTAAAACTAAGATCGAGATTACGAACACTAACCTTGTTGGGATTTCTGACTCTAAGAATCCCCGCTTTATGCTCCTTTCTTGCAAAACCCCGAACTGAAATGAACTTCTCCAAACCAAATGAAAGAATCAGAAAGTCTTCCAATTTTATGTTTCTGTTGTCTTTTCTTCTTCCGTCCTCCTCAACACAGAGCCCAAAGAGCTCATTTATAGCAAGAATTGCATGCCACGTGTCATGCTGTGATTGATGATGAGCATGACATGCTTCTCTTTGATTGGTTGGTTCTCAAGGCTGCTTCTGAGGCCTCCACCTTGCTTAGTCTATGATTGATGATGAGCATGACATGCTTCTCTCTGATTGGTTGGTTCTCAAGGCTGCTTCTGAGGCCTCCACCTACAAAGGTGCTGACTAACTGCTTGGATAAGATTGGGCCGAGTTGGGCCTTGAATTCGTTTGGGCCGGTACCAGGGCTTGGTCTAGTCCTGAACCTGGGTTCTGTTTTGGGCCGAATTGGGCTCTGTTTTGGGTTGTATCATGATCGCTTTCTTTTTCATTTTGCAGGTATGTGATCTGGTTTGGGCTCAAAGAGAGGAGAAGAAAAGGAGCCCAATGACTTCAATTGATGAGTCGGCCCAGTTTGAAATGGTGTTCAAACTTCAAATTTTTTGTTGTTAGTAGTAACAGGCAGTCATTGTAATTAGTTTCAGTTCATACTTTGTACCATGTGTCAAATTTAACTATAAAGCTTTTGCCTCCATTTCATCTATCACGCCCATGTTCGAACCTCAAGCTTTGCACCTCTATTGTTTTTTTATAATTAAAGTTTAAGATTTGCCATTGCTAATCTTATTAAATCGATTATATCTTAACTAATCCTAGAATCGACTAGGTTGGTAATATTGATTAGTTATTGACTTGCCACTGCTAGTCTCAACTCATATGATATTAGAAAGAAAATTTGATAAATCATTGGTGCTTATTGACTCGCCACTGCTAATTTCAACCAATTCATCACAAGTTTCCACTTTCATTTGTTGTTATATTTTTATTTTACATAGAGTGTTTGTCCCGGACAAAATGTGGTGTCTACAGATCTATTATGCGCCTCTGCATCTAGCACCACACACGATGTGGTGCGCTAACGAGAACAGAGCCCAAGAGTCGAGACCCAATCGGGAGACGTTTCGGCTTATATTCCTACCAATGTAATTTCTATTACAGATGGACAAATTTTCTTATCCGCTGATCTATTCAATGCTGGAATCCGGCCTGCTATTAATGTGGGTATTTCAGTCTCCCGAGTCGGATCCGCAGCTCAAATTAAAGCTATGAAACAGGTAGCTGGGGACGGACTACTATAGTGAGTCTAGTGACTACTAGAGTAGAGTTGAGTAAAAAGGTATGGTATAGCTGCCAAGCATCACGTAGCTAGATCGCGCACCCTTTAGTGTTCTATCGCCCGTATCGGTCGCCTCCACTTGCTCCTTTGTTTGCCCCCCTTACTCTAATAGGCGGTAGCAAGCCCTTAGAAAGCTTTTCTATATAGATGTATATATGAATAATGTGATCAGCCTGACCGCACGAGTAGAAGATCTGGCAGGGTCCCTCGCCTCTATCCCTTTCTTTAGCAAGATAGGAGTAAAGTACTCGGTCAAGCCATAGACGGATTGATGTGGCGTAGCGGCGACATAGGGTCCCCCCCCCCCTCAAAATCGGACGTGAAAGTTTCCTCTCATCCGGCTCAAGCAGTTACACCAAAGAAAGATAAAGAAAAGGGTTCCCACTTTCAAAATCGAAAAATAAAAAAAAAATAATGAAAGAGAGTATATTTGTCGAAAAGTTCAAAATCGTATCCATACGATTTTCATTGTACATCTTGATTAATTGGATCATTTCTTTGTGTATTCCAAGACGAAACTCTTGTCGCAGTGTTTCTGGGTATTCTTTTATCATTTCATCCAATAAGAGGAGTTCCTCTAATTCTATGAATTTATCTAGAATACATCCTCTGTATTACCGCGGCTGCTGGCACAGAGTTAGCCGATGCTTATTCCCCAGATACCGTCATTGCTTCTTCTCCGGGAACCAATTGTATACCACCACTGATAAACACCAGAATAAGCGATATTCACTGGGCCAAGAGCACCCCCTCGAGTAAAAGCTTCCACAGCCGGTTGGCCAAAATGGGCTTTAATTGGTCCTGGGGGTCGGGCATGCGATAAACCCATAAAGAGTGCTGCCTTAGAGTAAGAACTACCTTGATCATTGTGATATGCCTGCTTTCACACCTATGCATGCTATTTCTCACCAAGTACACGAGCCTGTCGTGTACCCCCCTGTGGATCTCGTTTTGCAGGACCCCCCTCTCACGCCTTCGCCGCCACTCCCGGCAACCTCACTTCCCAATAAAAAGCTCAAGGAGGAGTGGCAGCCGAAGCCGCAGGTGGCTAAGCCTGTTCGGAAGAAAGGTGGAGACCACTATGAGCTGGTCCCACCTCCTGCACCACGACCACCCTGGCCGTCCGAGTACTCACTCGCCTGCATCTTGCCGGATGGCCAGGTCGAGCTGACCGATGATGGTGGTCGCACCCGGCTGGTGCATGGCCACCATCTGAAGCTATACCTCAAGAGCGATGTGGATCCGCTCTTGGAGGCACCTGCTCCTGCACCCCGTTGAGTATCCATCGTCGGTGTCCAGCTAAAAGACGGTAAAGAAGGGCTTGTGGGGAGGCAACCCCACCACGGTTTTAATCTCTTTCTTTTGTTTTGCATCGGATTGTAAACCGGTTTGGTTTTGGTTTGTTTTCTTTTGTTTTGGATGATGTATTATTGGGCTTACCATTGGACCTAACATGTTGTGTTTGAGCTCTTCTGTCCCCCTTTAGCTGTGCTTTGTTCCAACTTGGTCCCTCTCCAGTTCGCTTCACTCGACGGGTACGCTTCCAGTCTCATGTAGTCCGTGCACACCGGTAACATCGTTCCCCTTATCTTTCCCTCTTCTCCATTGAGGGCAATGTCGATCTTAAGTGTGGGGGGGGGGGATGTTTCTCTTTTGACTGCATTAGATCTGTTTGTGTGCTTGGAGCCTAGTCCACTGTCCAAATTTTTAAATTTGAGGGCTCCAAGTACGTGTTTCCTTGCAAATTGCCTGCTCAGTATGCTTTGAATTGACAGTCTCTATAGTAATGTGCAACCGAGGGAGGTAGTGTAGCATTATGGAGGATGTTGAAGTATAAGATTTTTCCTATCTAGCTCTTTGCTGTGCCGGTTGATTTTGTGAATTAGTGGAGCTAGGACCGTTTAATTCATGTGGTAATGGTGACACTATTTGGATTGTCTTATGGACTCGTGTATCGAACAAGGTGCTCATGTGAAAAATGAAATGCAGTTGGTCCTCCATGTCAAAATCATTAAATCTTAAACATGGGGTAAGCCCAACATGTGCGGCACCGTTCATTGCACAAAATCGGGTTTTGGAAGAGATTTTAGTGATCCTTAGTGGGGTACTCCTACAAGGTGAAGCTAAGCCGTCTCTAATACAAGTAAAACTTCCACCCGTTGAACGGTTTGCCTACTTGAGGATGTGTTTTTAAGGGCACGGATAGAGCTTCCGACCCCCTTAATTTCATTGACCCTCCACACGAGTTGAGGAAAAGGAGTTAAAAGAAGTACTCTAGCGAGCTCCAGATGTACAGAAATTGCTCTTGCTCAACTAATAAGGGTCGACCGTGTAAGAGACTGCAGTTGGAACCCCTGCTAAGTGAATAAAAAAAGAAGTAAAGTGAAAGTAAAAAAGGGGTTCCAACGGTGAAATGAAGTGAAAGAGCACCCCGGTACAACGAGTCCTTGGTTGTGAATGTTTTGAGTCCCTTTATCCATGAACTGACTGTCTTACTTCTACTTCTTCTCATGATCCTGGCTTGAGTCTAGTACTCGCATTGAGAGAGATAGGGAATGTCTTAGAAGACCAGTTGACCTCTTAAGCTGCTTTATGATCTAGAAAAGCCTCTACCGACGATCGGGGTTGTTTGTTGCTATAGAGGTCTGGAGAGCTGCATTAGTTTGAGTTAGGTTTGCTTGGGGACAAGCAAACGATTAAGTGTGGGGGAGTTTGATAGACCAATAATTACACATGTTTCTACCCCTATTCTTGAGCCGTTTGAGATGTCGATTCCCGTGTTTTAGGCCGATTTCATGCTAGGTTGTTCTTGTTTATGATATTTCAGGTCCTAGTACGTGAATGAAGGTTTAGGAACGAGTTCGGGGTCGATTGGACGAAGTTTGGATGCTTAGCGAGAAGCTGAGAAGCCACACGGGCATGCCCAAAAGCCACACGGCCGTGTGGGAGACCCACTGTGGCCGTGTGAAGGCTCGGCAAAAGCTACACGGGCAGCCTGAACACTCATACGGCCGTGTGGGTCGTGGCCGCGTAGCTTGCCTGGTTGCCACTAATCGAAACGCCGCGTTTGGACACTCACACGGGCAGCTGGGAAAGTGACACGGTCGTGTGACATGGCCGTGTGAGTCGGGATTTTCTGGTTTTAAGCCAATTTCCAGCCACAAGTGAGAGGGATCCGAGTTTTAGAGAGATAGAGCGATTCCTAGAGAGAGAAAGCGGCGAACAAGAGTTCCCAAGTGCCCTAGCTTGATCTTCATCACCATTGGAGCCCGGCTTGAGCTTGGAGAAGTGCCGATCGACAACCAGGAGCAGAAATCCATCCTTCACTGTATGGTTTCCGCATCTGAATCTACTTTTGCTTCTTTCTCCATGGAGTAGTTTTCTCATTCATCTGGGTATGGAGAACCCTAGATTTGTATGTTAGGTCTGATTGTATGAACCCAGGTACAGATTTTATGATTTGATTATGTTCAATTGAGGCTTGAATGATTGAATGACTTGAATCCTGATCAAATTCCTGTTATTTCTGCTTTAACCTAGAAAGAGAATATCTGTCTAGCTTAATAGAGCACCCTTAATTGAAGGTGGTGAATTGGCGACTTTAGTCGAGGAGTCAATTCACTATTCTGTACCGAATTTACTTCGCTAGTGGAGGTTTGGTTCGTTAGGGCCTCAATCTCTTTACTCCGGTGGAGGTTACTCGCCCGCTGGGGACTCAGATTGAGAGGGTCTGGAGACCTTTAGTCGAGACTTCAGACTGTTTAAGAACCTTCCGCAGTATAACTTTCATAGAAACTGAACTTGGTAATTGCAATCCGGCTTAACTGCAGTCTAGGGGGAACCATATCCGGGTGACCTCTCTCGACTTGAAACAACCGTTTGATTGCTAGCTTTGCTTGTTTGAACCTGCACAAAAGTTTCACCGCTAGATAATAAGAATTCACTGAGTAGTCATCACATCTAGGACCTGGGTTGACATTAAAACCCAAACCCGCTATACTACGCTTTAGGAAGTGGTTACACTTGGCCATTTTCTAGAGTGACAATAGGAGTGAGTCAACCAACATGAACAAATCTAAGGATGGTAAGCACAATTATGCACAATCCTTACGTTGCTAAGCACCAACATGCACATACCTAAGGATGCTAAGCACAAAACATGCACAACCCTTAGATTGCTAAGCACGAGCATGCACAATCAACATGAATAATACCTCAATCATTAAATTAAACAATACCCAATGACAATCATTCAATCTAAACAAGTAATTACAAAGTATTAGTCAGGGATCTACAACACCCAAGAGAAAAGAGTGAGTTTATAGAGAGAGAGAGAGGGATTACAAATTTGAGCTCAAGATCTTCTTCTTATTCTTCTAGGCTTGAATCTCCACCCTAGCCTCCAATGATGCTCCAAGATCACTCTAGCACTCTCTCTCTCACTAGAACTCCCCTTTGGTATTTTTGGGCAAACCCTAGAGAGAGAACTCCCCTTTCAGCTCATCTTTTAAACCAGAGACGAGCACAGTTCACGACCTGAGTTCACAGCCGTGAACCACGAAACGCGTCTGTGAACTACAGGCATGCGCCAAAACGCACCGCTTCGATCACTTCTGTTCACGGTCAACAACCTCTATTCACGGTCTTAGTTACCGTGAACTCACCTTGTGTCAGTAACCTCTGTTTTGGCTCTAGACACCTCGCGATTCACGGTCAAGGGCTCTTCTTCACGGTCGTGCAAGACCATGAACTTCCTTGGATAGTCGTGAACTGGCCCTTTTTCACCTCTTCTCCCGGTTTTCGATCCTTTTTGTCCAACTTTCGACTTTGAGGCTGGTTTCACCTGTTAAACCCTGAAACACACTAAAAAACGAGGAACCTAGTGTAAAACCAACCTTTTAGGAGTGAATTTGCCACAAACACCTAAGTAAAACGGGGGCAAAACATGTACAATTAGGGCCGAATCACTCCTCCACACTTAGACGTTTGCATATCCCCAAGCAAACCATTTCACACAAGGTAATATTTCAACCTACACAAATACTTTGGGGACAACTCAAAGGGCACAAAGTGGGAATTCTCAATGGCTATTGGCAATCAATACATGGACCTTTGCAAGCAATAGCGACATCCACCACAAACGACATTCGAAGCCACCAAAATCGGGCAAACGAAAAGTTCTCACCTTGCTCATGGATCAATGCAAGTCGCAACAAGACCACTTATCAACCACAGCCGACCATGCATGGAATTCAAGTCCGAGGAACAAATGGAAAGGCAAGAATAAAGGTCCTCACCGAGGTATGATATGACATGCAAAGAAAGAATGAATCATTCTCTCTCAAGACCAGTGGGGTCCGGACCTTTTTACGTGCAAAAGATGT